GGTTTTGTCCTATAATTGTACTAAAAGTACTAATTTTGGTATTGGGTGAAGGAAATCCTGAAATTTGATATAAAGGCCATTGTTGTTGTCTACGTTTGAGATAGGAAGGTGGATTTGGAAAAATGTACTATAATTGTACGAAGAGTACTATATAGTACTAAGTTTGGCATTCGTGAAGGGACAGGCGGTGGTATGGAAATGCATCCTATATTTGAGGGATAGGAATGGGATCCTAAATGTGATATTAGTGTCTCTGTTGGTGTCTGGAATTCAGATATTGAGGTGGTTTTGCATATGTGTACTATAATTGCTCGAAACAGGATCACTGTTGGTGTAAAATGCGAAATGAAAGTTTTAAAGATAAATATTTTCCTATTATTATTTCCGAAAAATCAAAAACTTGATTAATATAAAAAACCTTGAAAGTCTAAAAATTTAGTATAAAATTTGTTAAACTGAACCAGATGTGCATTTTGAGAACTACACGAACTTTTGGAATGAATCTTAAATTTAAAGTGGACGTTTCGGTGACGAATCCTAGCTAGATATATGTATATGAAATTTCAGAACTTGATTTCGGAAGATGGCATGAATACTTTAGGCAAATAACAAGATTTAATATATTCACCCTTCGTTGCATGAAAATCGGGGATCGGTATTTTGGCCCATTCTGGGTACTAGAAATATCAGTTAACAAGTAGTAGATTTTTTTTAGTCATTTAAGGGATTGAGTATTTTTTGAAAAATATTTTAAAATGTTAAAATTCGGAGAGCATTCCGGCCCTCTGAGCCACGTTTTGAGCACCCACAAAAATGGTTTTACCCTCAGTCGTATTGCTATAATATATAGCATTTGATATGGTTAAGTCACACAAAACTAACATCCTACTACTTGGGCTGACTTTAAATCAAGTTTCAAGATAGGTAATATCAACGCAGTCCTTTCCCATCTATCTCCCCTATAATCGTAAAAATTAATAGCCTGTTCAGCAAACTTTTTTTTTTGACTTCCAAATGGTAGACATGTAGAGTTTTTGGTTTTCGTACGTAGGAACAAGTAAAAAAACATCAAGTACAGCCGGGCCGAACATTTAATACCCTCCACCCTAGGGCAAAGAAACATTTTTACATAAAAGTACATGAATTCAAGCGTGTTTCACTTTAAACTTCATATACCGGTAAGACCGTTTGGATAATGCCGTTGTTTGAGGCCATACCAAAATGAAAACCTCTATGGACAATTTTATACTTCAAGGATCTACTAAATCTTCTAAAAAACCAAATTTTAAACAATTATATGGGTAAATGTGACTAGGATTATCAAAATGCCGAATATCGATGGATATCGTAATATGTGCGCTATAGGAAAACGCGGAACTAAATATTCAATGTTCTGCCACCGGGCTAGAACCCATTATGAACTATAAATACCAATTTTTAGACAAATCCGTGGAAAAAAGTTGGCAAAACTCATCAAAATACCGAATATCGTTATATGGGGGTACGCGTTATATGGGGACTATACCAAAACGTCGACCGATATATCCCATTTTCAATACCAACCATCCTAGACACAATACAAATTGTTTAGCTAAATTTTGACGCTTAATGTCAATTAAGAAGAATTAGAATTTTATGCTGCTTACGAATATATATATCGTATCGTATCGACACCATAGATGACGAATATTTAGGGATAATACAAACGGAATGACAAAGTTAATATACCCTCCTTTCCAAGGTAGAGGGTATAAAAGTAAATGAAATCAAATAATGACTTCATCGTCTAGGTAGCAATTGCTTGTCTGCCCTGAACTAAATTTCTGTGAATGTTCTGTTAATTTTGATAAAGAAGAAAAATAGTACTTCTTAAAAACGTAATACTAATGTTCGATTTTTTTCAAACGCATATCTGATTATTTCTGACAATATAGGAGCTCGTATCAAATTGCGATATACCGGTTAACTTTATATAATATCTCCCTAATAAAAGCTAATAATTTCTAAATAATGCAAAATCAGCTCAACCCAAATGCTCAGGTTGTATATCTGTCGGCAAAACATTTAACAGCTTCTAACTTTTGTAAATAATACCTTTGAAAAATATCTGAATTCAGAGTTTCTTTAATATAGTAATAAATGTGCCTCTTTTTCAAAATTGATAAATTCGTTCAGCTTTTTCCACTACATAAATTATTCGTCTTATTATTACCAAGCACCCTAATAAATACTAAATAAAACATCAAATAATAAACCAATTAAACATTTCAAAAAAAAAAAAAAAAAAAAATCCACTTGTTACGGAAAATGTTTTTCCGACGCAATTTTTGGCTGGTGTCTGGCAGCCAGTAGTGAATTATCTTCAATGAAAATGTATATTTTTAATTTTCTCTGTGAAATGTTTTCGGCGAGCCTAAAAAAAGTCAAAAAAGAAAACCAACACACCAATGAATGAATTCCACCAAATTCAAATCGATTAACCGAGCCAACTGCATCATCGTTTTGATGGATAATGCACGAACGACTGTCGAAAAACCAGATGTTATTCTATGGCTATTGGGCATGGATGATGGCATTGGGAAAACAAAATATTGAAAAATATCAACAATTTGAAAATAAATGATAGTTTAATTAAAATATAATCAATCAATCAATTATGAATGGTGTGTTGTGGGTGGGTGGAAATTGCTGACAGAGATGGAAAGTCGTCAGTAAAAAAGAGGGGGCTGTGACGCCAAATTTCAAATGATTGATTTGAATAATTAAAAAAAGAAAACAAATTTAAATATGGAATTCAAAATTTACATTAGGTTTGACAAATTAGGTTTGACAAATTTTCAAAACAATGATAGATTTTGAGGTTAGTTGAGCCCTTTTTATTTTTGTTTCGAATTTCGATAGTATACTTCTAGGCGCTCCTCAGACTTTTTTATACCCTCCACAATAGTATGGAGGGTGTATTAAGTCATTCCGTTTGTAACTCATAGAAATAATAATTTTAGACCCAACAAAGTATATATATTCTTGATCAGTATAAAATTCTAAGACGATTTAGCCCTGTCCGTCCATCTGTTCGTCTATCCGTCTGTGGAAATCACTCTAGCTTCGGAACGAAATGAAGTACATTGATAAAATTTTACTCAAATGTATACTATGTCTGCAGGACTTTTGGTATTGATAATGGGCAATGTAGGTCCACGTTTTGGTATGGCCTCCATATAATGGTACCTCCCTATTTTCGGTATTTTGGTGATCTAAGCGACATTATTCACCGGAAACAAATTTGGTATTTGAGGTTTGTAATGGATATTACAGCCACAGACAGAAAATTGTTTGTGCAGGTCCACGTGTTCATATAGCCCCCTTATAACGTTACCTCCCGATATTCGGTATTTGGGTGATTTATGCGACATTATTCACCGGAATTGTTGAAAAATTGGTATTTGAGGTTCGTAATGGATACTTCAGCCACAGACAGAAAATTGTCTGTGCATGTCCATGTCTGCGTATAGCCCTCATATACCCTCCCGATATTCGGTATTTTGATGATTTTAAGGACATAATTCACCGGAATTATTTGAAATTTGATATTTCTGTCATAGAGACTATGACAGAAAATTGTCTGTGCAGGTTCACGTGTTCATATAGCCCCCATATAACGGTACCTCCCTATTTTCGGTATTTTGGTGATTTAAGCGACATTATACACCGGAAATGTTTAAAATTTGGTATTTGAGGTTCGTAATGGATATTACAGCCATCGACAGAAAATTGTCTGTGCAGGTCCACGTCTGCATATAGCCCCCATATAACGGCACGTCCCGATATTCGGTTCTTTTATGATTTTATCGACATTATTCACCGGAAATATTTCAAATTTGTTATTTGAAGTTCATAATGGGTACCACAGCTTATGACAAAAATTATGTGTGCATGTCCACGTCTGCGTATAGCCCCCATATAAAGGTACCTCCCGATATTCGGTATTTTGGTGATTTAAGCGACATTTTTCGCCGGAATTGTTTCAAATTTGGTATTTGAGGTTCGTAATGGATATTACAGCCTATGACAGAAAAATGTCTGTGCAGGTCCACGTCTTCATATAGCACCTATATAACTGTACCTCCCGATATTCGATATTTTTATGATTTTAGCGACATTATTTACCCGAAATATTTTAAATTTAGCGTTTGAAGTTCGTAATGGGTACTACAGCCTATGACAGAAAAATGTCTGTGCAGGTCCACGTCTTCATATAGCACCTATATAACTGTACCTCCCGATATTCGATATTTTTATGATTTTAGCGACATTATTTACCCGAAATATTTTAAATTTGGTTTTTGAAGTTCGTAATGGATACCACAGCCACAGACAGAAAATTGTCTGTGCAGGTCCACCCCTTTGTATAGCACCCATATAACGGCACCTCCCTATATTCGGTAGTTTAAAAACTTTAGCTACATTATTCACCGATTTTTTTTATTCAAGTTTCGCATTGGATTATTGTAATGGCTGATGGCAAAAGTTGCCTATGCAGGCCCACGTCGTCGTATAGACCCTAATATAACGGCGATATTCGGTTTTTTAAGATTTTAACAGCATTTTTAACGGTTTTTTTTTTTTTTTTTTTTTTTTTTTGAAAATTGCCATATTCGTTCCAAATGGTGGAGGGTATTCAAAGTTCGGCCCGGCCGAACTTACTTTTTTTACTTGTAAAATCTAAAACGATTTATATTGTATTATATATTATTATAAATATATCAAATAATATATAAACCCTGATATAACATATCATGCAATTATGACTGCCACTGTATTTCATTCCAAAGAAAAATTGACAATTTCCCACAAAAAAAAAAAAAATAAAAAATAAAAAAAATTGCAAAATTAAAAAAATATAAAGCATTTCAAAATGAGACAAAAGCAATAAATTAAAATCAAAAGACATATGTATACACATACATACGCATATATATTTCTATTCATTTTTGACTCACATTAATTTCCGACAAACGTTTCTCCAATTCATCTGCTGATTTACGATCGACTGGTCGGGCAATTAAATCATTGATACGCTTTAGACCTTTCACAATCAGCTCCTCCAGATTGACACCTTTCATGCTGACCTTCTTGTCCAACGATGAGTAAGGTGAATTGGCAGCGGGATCGGCGGCCGTTGCCGTGGGGCAGGCTTTTGATCTAATGGGTGGCAGAAAAAAAATGAGAAAAAAAGTGAACAAATTATTTTAGTTGAGTGACATTCTTTTGGCACATTTCCATTTGCTCTTGATATTTACTTTGACTGTTGAACCTCGCGGAATTTCTCTCTTAGTATAATTTGACTCTTCATGACCACACGCGACAGAGAACCCTGTTTGCCATGAGTTTCCAGCACCAGCGAATCACCCTGTGATATTAACGTGGCGGCGTCGGGTGCTATTAACATTTTCAAGTCTTCGACGGCTCTGGAAGAAAAGGGAAATATAAAAGGTAAGACAAAGGAAGATATATGAAAATTTCTATAGGCAGAAGGTCCTTGAAAGGTTTTCTATAGAAGATGAAAGAACTTTCTAAAATCTTCTGTACACAGCAGACCATTTGAAGACCCATCTGTAGACAAAAAAAAAATATAGAGGCCTTTCGAAGGACTTCGTTGCCCAGAAGACGTTTGTGGGTCCTCAGGATTTCTATTGTAAAAAATCATATTAAAGTCCTCTATTGAAAGGCCTTGTCTCCTTTCAAAGAAAAAAAGCCCTTGGCAAGCTACTTTCAGAAAGAGGACTTTTTCCAGGACTTCTATACAAAAAATATATATTTTTAGGGTGTTCCATGTTGAGAAAACATTTTCGCGGTCTTCCTTCCAAAAAAAACCCTTCCAAGAACTCCTGTAAACATAAATTCGTTTCGAGGTCTTCTATAGAATAGCCTTTTATAAAATATATTTTAAAGTTCTTCTAGAGGAAATAGATCTTTTGGATGTCGCTCCAAACCGCGGTCTTCGGTATAGAAAGACATTCCAAAGGACTTTTATAAAAAGAAGATTTTTTCAAGGAATTCAAAAAAGAGGTCATATCGAAGAAGTCTTCAATTGGAAGAAAATCTCCCATAGGTCTTGTATAGAGAGAAATCTTGGAACGTTCTCTATTGATTGAAGGCATTTTAAAGGTCTCCAATTGAGAGAAGGCTTTTCGAGGGAAGACCATTTGAAAGTCTCCTATTGAAAAAGGACCTTTCGAAGATGATCTGTTGAAAAAGGATCTTTCTTCAATTGACAAAGAACCTATTTCAATTTAAAAAGGACCTCCGAAAGTCTTTTATTGAAAAAGGACTTTCCGAAGGTCTTCTATTAAATAGAACCTTCCGAAGATCTTCTATTGAAAAGCTTCTTTTTGAAGGACCTCTATAAAAAGGACCTTTTGGATGTCTTTTGTTTAATGAAGACCTTCTGAACCTATCTTAGGTTTTCTTTTCAGCGAAAACCTTTCGAATGCCTTCTATTGAAAAAGAATCATTCGAAGGTCTTCTTTAAAAAAGGATCTTTCAAAGGTTTGCTATTGAAAAAGGATCTTTCGAAGGTCTCTATTGAAAAATACCTTTCGGAGGTCTTCTATTGAAAAAATAAGCTCTTTATGAAAAGAAAACTTCTTCTGCAGCTCTCCTATAGAAGAGAAGACCTTCTGCAGCTCTTCTATAGAAGAGAAGACCTTCTGCAGCTCTTCTATAGAAGAGAAGACCTTCTGCAGCTCTTCTATAGAAGAGAAGACCTTCTGCAGCTCTTCTATAGAAGAGAAGACCTTCTGCAGCTCTTCTATAGAAGAGAAGACCTTCTGCAGCTCTTCTATAGAAGAGAAGACCTTCTGCAGATCTTCTATGGAGAGAAGACCTTCTGCAGCTCTTCAATAGAAGAGAAGACCTTCTGCAGCTCTTCTAGGCAAAGAAGACCTTATGCAGCTCTTCTAGACGAAGAAGACCCTCTGCAGCTCTTCTAGCCGAAGAAGACCCTCTGCAGCTCTTCTAGCCGAAGAAGACCTTCTGCAGCTTTTCTAGCAGAAGAAGACCTTCTGCAGCTCTTATATAGAAGAGAAGACCTTCTGCAGCTCTTCTATAGAAGAGAAGACCTTCTGCAGCTCTTCTATAGAAGAGAAGACCTTCTGCAGCTCTTCTATAGAAGAGAAGACCTTCTGCAGCTCTTCTATAGAAGAGAAGACCTTCTGCAGCTCTTCTATGGAGAGAAGACCTTCTGCAGCTCTTCAATAGAAGAGAAGACCTTCTGCAGCTCTTCTAGGCAAAGAAGACCCTCTGCAGCTCTTCTAGGCAAAGAAGACCCTCTGCAGCTCTTCTAGGCGAAGAAGACCTTCTGCAGCTCTTCTATGCGAAGAAGACCTTCTGCAGCTCTTATATGCGAAGAAGACCTTCTGCAGCTCTTCTATGCGAAGAAGACCTTCTGCAGCTTTTCTAGGCGAAGAAGACCTTCTGAAGTTCTTCTATGAAGAAAAGATTTTCTGAAGTTATTCTATGAAGAGAAGACCTTCTGAAGCTCTTCTATGGAAGAGAAGACCTTCTGAAGCTCTTCTATGGAAGAGAAGACCTTCTGAAGCTCTTCTATGGAAGAGAAGACCTTCTGAAGCTCTTCTATGGAAGAGAAGACCTTCTGAAGCTCTTCTATGGAAGAGAAGACCTTCTGAAGCTCTTCTATGGAAGAGAAGACCTTCTGAAGCTCTTCTATGGAAGAGAAGACCTTCTGAAGCTCTTCTATGGAAGAGAAGGCCTACTGAAGCTCTTCTATGGAAGAGAAGACCTTCTGAAGCTCTTCTAGGCGAAGAAGACTTTCTGCAGCTCTTCTATTGAAGAGAAGACCTTCGAAACTCTTCCATCGAAACAAGACTTTTGAAGCTTTCCTATTAAGAGAAGACCTTCTGAAGCTCTTCCTTGTAAATTCTTCAATCGCAAATCCAAAATGTTCCAACTTACCTCTCCCCCTCGGTGTTCTTCTCGATCTTCTCCTTGGTTTTGTCCAAACGCATCATCATATATTTTGCATTCTTTTCGAATTCACTAACTCTCTGCTCCAGAGATCCACCAGGAAACTGGGGAATTGGTACCTCAGAATAGGGGCTTTTCAGGGTAATGTTCGAATCATCCATGGATGGTGATTGTGGCAAGATTTTGCTGGCGAAAGAGTTGGGCTTCTTGGTGGTGGGGGTTTCAATGCGGCTCTAAACAAAAGGCAAAAAAAAAATATTGTAAATGTATTTAAAAAAAATTCGCATCCTGGCAGAAGGAAACACCAGGATTTGTTATTTGTTTGGAATTAGAAACAGAATTTGCCAATTTAACATTGAAAACCGACAATTCGGAAATTAGCACCTTTCAATGTTAAATTGTATGGGAATTTCCCAAAGGAAACTCCTTATCTTGTTATCCATACCGTATCACTGTCCGAATCAAGAGGTTGAGTCATTTCCATTGAAAATCTCGGTATATCTTCGTCATCCGAAAAGACCAAAGGCTCAACTTCGAAACTCAAATCTTTGTCGGGATTATAAAAGCTGTTCCTTGCCTCCTGCTCGGCCATGCTATTGTCCAGCTCTTCCATGGCGATTTGGAGTTGACGCCAACGTTTGGCTTTGGGTTGTTTGAAAATACCACCCGTCTTGGCATCGCCTTCCTCCTCCGAGTCGCGGAGAATATCACGTTCGGTTTCGATGCGTTTACGTTTCTCTTCGAAAGAGATACGTTGCTTTTCAACTCTCAAAATTGGAGTACTGGTGTGGCTTGGGCCCAGACGCAATTCCACATCATTGTTTTTGTCATTCTCCTCCTCCTCTTCGGCTAGGGGTTTGGGGGAATCATTGAGAGATCTCTTGGATTTGGATCTTCGCACCTCTTTGCCATCGACATCAATGCGCATGGAGGAGTCCGAATCTTCGGAGAGATCAACAATTTGCACTGTTTCCACATATTCGGGTACAAATGGTTCCACCGATTCCAAAATGTTGACGGTATCAATTATCTCCCCCTGTTGGGGTTCCATGCCGGCCAGCTGGACCGACATTTTATCTGAGCCAATATTTTTCACTTTAATTTCCACCATTTGAGCCTGGGACTCACCAATCTTGCGTTTGTTTGGTGGCTTGGGCGGGGGTATGTCATCATCAGGACCGGCTCCGTTACTTGTTGTTGCTGTATTCATGGAGATCTGTGAGAAGAGAGCACTTGATTCAGCTAAGCGGAACGTTTGTGGTGGCAATAAATCTGGCAAGACTTGGCCACTGTTTGGTGTAGACTGTGGTGATTGTTGCTGTTGTTGTTGCTGATCTTTTGCAGAACCCACCTGTGCTAATTGTTGTCCCGAGGTATTACTTGAGGAGCTGGAAGTGTCACCGACTTCCTTGGTGGGTGAATTCGATGATGGTGTACGGGCTCTTCTCTGCCTCACCGTATCGCTGACAATAACAATTTCGGTATCTTCTTCTTCTCCTGCTGCTGATGACTTGTCTCCTTGGCGCCGCTCCAACGAGGATTCAATTTTGTAATGCGTTTTTAGCAAATCCTATTCGAATTTTTTGTAATTTTTAAAAATCAATGGAGAAAACAAATGGGATTTGAAGAACAAATTTTGATTTTTTGATTATAATTTCAAAATTTTCTACAAAAATAAAATTCAATTGTCAAAATCCAAATAAAAGCAAAGTGGAAAAAAATAAATTTAGTAAAGCCCCAATTTTTTTCAAAACTACAAATTTTCAATAAAATTTCCATCCTATCTTTGCAAGCCAAATAAGAGATGAGCCAAATTCTACTTTGTTTACCTTAAATTACTTAATTTTTATAAAATAAAATTTAAAAAAAAAATCCCATAATTTTTTAAAATATTTATAAGTTTTTTCTACCAAAAGGTGGTGGTGGTGAGTTAGAGTTGAGGTGAGATTATTCCAGATGATGGTGGTGGTAATGGTGGATTTTTATTTGAAGAGAAGGACAATAGACAAATGGGCTATTATATTTTTTTTGCTCATAACATTGGCTATGGTGGTAGTGGTTGGTTGGTTGGTTGGTGGTGGTGATAGTTCTTGTGGTGGTGGTGGTGGTGGTGGTATTGGATTATGTTGAGCCTTTAACCATTTCCGATATTTTACAAATTGAACTCGGGACTCAGTTAACTTTTTGGTCTATGGATAATGACTTCAACCTTTTGACCTCATTATTATTATTATTTTGGTTTGATTAATGGTATGGTTTTATGGTTATGACATGGTTATGTTATGATTAGGTTATGACATTTGAGGTGAGTATGAATTATAATACAAAAATACATGAAATGTGGTGAGTATTTGCTAACTACTATTAAATTGGTTAGTGTATTCGACTAATAATAATGTATTCTCTAATAATTTATACTAAATACTGTTAATTTATTATTTATCACAATTTAGTAAAAAATATGGGGTTTATTAATAAGATTTATGAAAAAGCTGAATTTCTATATATTACACTATACGAAAAAATGTATTCATTACATATATATTTTTTAAGTAATGCTGTGCGACAAATTAAATTTTTTCAATAATCACAGGGAAAGTCCAGCGCATTATGAAAGGAAAGTAAAGAAAAGTTGAAAGCTCAACCCTCTTCCAAGCTCAACCCTCTTCCATAATTGTGGGAATTTTTGGATAAAAATTCCTCGGAATCCGTGGATTTTAGGTATAAAGAGTCTTCAGCAATATTGTACATATCAAGTAGAAAAGCTGTAAGTAAAGCCGGATCGAACTTTGAATACCCTCCACCATTTGCTACAAATTTAACAATTTTCAAAAAAAAAAAATATATAAAATCCCTTAAAAATTCTGATAAAATTACCGAAAAAACACCGAAAGTAGCCGTATATTAGGGTCTACACGACGACGTGGACCTGCATAGGCAACTTTCGTCACAAAATCAAAAATCATCAAAATATAGCATATCGGGAGGTACCGTTATATGGGGGCTATACGAAGACGTGGACCTACATAGCACATTTTCTATACCAAAAGTCCTGCAGACATAATACACATTTGAGTAAAATTTTATGAACCTACTTTGTTTCGTCCGGAAGCTAGAGTGATTTCCACAGACGGACGGACATTGATAAATCGACATTGAATTTTATGCTGATCAAGAATATATATACTTTGTGGGGTCTAAAATGTATATTTCGAGGTGTTAAAAACGGAATGACAAACTTAATATACCCTCCATACCATGTTGGAGGGTATAAAGATACGGTGAAATTTTTGACCGAGAAATGGGATTTTTTGGTCCTTTTTTTATAAAATATGTGTAAAAATTTCCCTTAAACGAGATCTTAGTAAGTCTAAACATTTTGAAGAATTACATACCATAAAATTATGCTACAGGTTCTAAAATACATCAAAAGCCTCACCTAAACGCCAGGAATTCATATATATTAAAAACACATTTTAGGGTTAAAGCCATACTTTGAGTGAGTTTGTGCAAAAATCTCCAACAAATTATCATTTTAGAATGATGACGTCAAAAACAAAAATATTCTTCATCAAATTTATAACTCTAAGAGGAAGAAGAGTAATCTCTATTTCCACTGTATATAAAAAATAGTTGTATAAAAAAAATAAATAAATAAATAAATAAAAATGAAATAAAAAAGGAAACAAAAATATTCCCCCTGTTTTTTTTTTTTTTTTTTTTTTTTGATCAATTTTTTTCGGACTTTTTTCGTGTTGACGCCTGAAGGTAACATAAAATTTTATTTCAGGCCAAAAATGTCAAAAGAAGAAATATTCTTCATTAAATTTCACTATAAGTCACCAACGAAATGAAATCGCTATGTCCACTATATATCGAGTAAATAGTAGCAGCAATATTGAAAAACAACTCGAGTATATTTTTTAATTGACCGTTTTTCGAGTTCCATCACGAAAGTGTCATAAAATTTCATTTCATTTTTGACAAAAAAAAAATTCAGAAGAAGGAAAAAAAATCTTCATCAAATTTCACTATGCAAGGTGAGATGAAAAAACTGCAACCAACTCGCTCGTCAGACAGCTCATTATATTGATTACAAGCGTACAAAAGCATTTTGGTAATGATTTTACAAAAAAAAAAAAATGTTATTCGTGATAACATTCAAGCGTTGCCCCACATTCCAACGGGACTCAGCACCATCTCACTTTGCACGCGCCACCCAAGAATGGTTACAAAATGAGGTTCCTCGCCCCATTTCCAGCACGCAATGACCACCAAAATCTCCGGATACCAATCGGTTGGACTATTGTGTCTGGAGTATTTTGGAAAGCAAGGTTGGCCTAAAAAATACCAAAGTGTCGATCACCTCAAGCAAAGGCTTTGCCGGAAATGGACCAAAATACCGGGCATCGTGTGATGGCTTTATTGACCGTTTGAAGGCCATAATTCGTGCCAAAGGTGACCAATTCGAACGAATCTAAACTTATTTTAAAATTTGACGCTTTTTCCGACATTTCTTGGTTTCATTGAATATAATTAAAAAAAAAATTAAAAATTATGGCGTTTGACTTTGAATTTGGCTGTTCTTCACTCCAAAATAAAAAAAAAAAATCTGTTCATTTATGTACCCACTAAGTTAAAAATGATATTCATCAATGAAATGGGAGATGAGCGCGATGACCTTTCTTAAGAGTTCACTCATTTTGATAATAAAATTCAATTACTTGCAAGCGTTGTTCGTTTGTAGCGTTGTTCATGGTTAAATTATCGACCAGACTGAAGATGTTTTACAGTGAAGCAAAACATGAAACCTTTGTATATATTATATATTTTAATTTAATTTTGTTATTTATATATAGTTTTATTTATTAATATATTCTATATTTATATTGTAACCAAATGCTCATCTTCTATGCTTCTCTTGAAATTTGACCGACAAATAATTGCCACAATTTTTAACTTTTAAATTTCGGAAATTTGTGATTTCCCAGAATATTTTTCCAAACGAACACTTTTATTCGATTTATTTATGTGTGTGTGTGGGTGAGTGTTTCATTTGAAAAGTAATTTTCTTTTAATTTTTTTTCGGTCAATTCAAATGAATGCATTTTGTATTGAGCGTAAATTTGTTCGTGTGTTCGTTTCTTTTTTCTTTCATTTCAATGGTTCTTTATGATATTTTATTTTTGCAAAAATAATTTCAGTATTTATTTGGCAATAATCGAATGGTATTATATTTGTGTTTATGTCTGTGGTTTTGTTTATGCCAAACGATTTGGAAATAGAGAGAGAGAATAAATTAGTTTATTATTTTTTGCCATAAAATCAAATGAATAATTATCCGGGGAGTGCAATGGCAAAAAACAAAGAACGTTGGCATTTGGTATTTATTATTTATGAAATCTAATATTTAAAATATTGAGGGGAAATTTGATTGGAATTAAATACTGGTAGGTATTAAGATGGGTTGATTTTCAATGTTATTGAGCGGTATTTAGCTATGACTCTGAGACATTAAAAAAGAGAGTATTGATTTTGTTACAGATTTTTTTTCACTTTGGAAAATAGTATCTAACTGTCACTCTGGGATATCGAATTAGTCAGAAAGGAATATGTTCAGATTTGCAATTAAAATTAATTTTTTTTTCAATCGTAATGTCATATTGGGCGCCACTTTTATTTTCTTTGCCAAATTGTATTTTTATTGGTCGCCACTCTTTAACTACAGGGTCAGATGAAAAAAACTGCAACCAACTTCAGACTGCTGTCATTACTAAGCCACTCGTCCGACAGCTGTTAAAATTATTCCAGTGACAGCTCATTATATTTTTTACAAGCGTACAAAAGCATTTTAGTGAGAATTTTCCAGAAATAAAGTTATTCGTGACGTAATTCAAGCGTGATAGTGTGATTTCTTTATATTTGGCTGGAAAACCACAAGTGACTATCGTTAGAGCACTACAGCATTAAAAAGTGAATAAATATTTTGTGTCTCGTACCATCACTCGTTACTGTGATATTTGTAGCGTAGGTCGACGTCAAGGAAGTGGGCGGAAGAAAACAGCAACATCAGCAGAAATGGTTCGAAAAGTAAAGAAGTGACTTGATCGAAACCCGCGTGGCAGTAGCCGAAAAATTGATCGTATGCGAATTATTTGGAATATTGTGATTTTCAATTGAAAAATGAGCTCGGGGTAAAGCCATTGAAATTCCAAAAAGTGCAAGAACTTACACCGCAACAGAAAGAAAATAGACTCAAAAGAGCTAAAGAGTTGCTTCGCTTGGCCGAAAGTGGTGAACTGGAGAATTTGGTTTTCTCCGACGAGAAAACATTCGTTGTCCAGAAGTTTGTAAGCAAACAAAATTATCGTTTTTACTTGCCAAAGAGGTCAGCTGAAAATGTGCACCTTCGGTTGGCCACCACAACTCAAGCGCCGGCCATAGTGATGGTGTGAGCCGCCATAACATTGGCATCAGAATAAATACCGAATATTACCGCGAAGATATTCTGGAGGATGTATTAAAGCCTTAGGCACGCAAACATTTTAGCCGCAGACCTTGGACATTCCAACAGGACTCAGCAAAATCGCACTCAGCACGCTCCACCCAAGAATGATTACAAAATGAGGTTGCTCGCTTCAGTTCCAGCTCACAATGGACACCAAAATCTCCGGATACCAATCTGTTGGACTATTGTGTCTGAAGTATTTTGGGAAGCAAAGTTGGCACTAAAAAATACCAAAGTGTCGATCACCTGAAGCAAGCGTTTCGCCGGCAATGGACCAAAATACCGCAGAGCAACATTCGGGCATCGTGTGACGGTTTCATTGGCCGTTTGAAGGCCATAATTCGTGTCAAATTTGATGCTATTTCCGACATTTTTTGCTTTGATTCAAAAAAAAAAAAAATTAAAAAAATGTAAAAATTATGACGTTTGACTATATTGCAGTTTTTTTTTTTTTTTTTTTTTTTATCTCACCCTTTAATGATAAATTTAGTTAAATTTTCAAATCGTTTCCGTCATCTTGTGCTTTATACACTGCCCTTGGCCAAAAATTAGCGGAGATTCTGAGATACCACATTAGGCAGCACTCAAGATGTACCAGATTTTAAATTAAAATTGCCTTTTTAAATTCCTAATATTTTATTGGGCACCAGTGCACTTGGACGGTATTTAGCTATTGTTGCGAGATATCGAACTAGACAACAGCCAAGATGTTTCAGATTTTAAATAAAGATGTTTGTGTAGCAAACGAAGTGGAGATATTTCAGTCGACTCTGTTAAAGGCAATCGCTGCACCAGACCTATCTACCGATGGGTATTTATTTTCAATATTTTTACATATAAAAGTTCGCTATAATATTTCCAAATGGGCAGAAGATATTTTCTTGACTAGTTAATAACTTTGTTGATTATAAATCTCCTGATCTTATGTTGGGCGCCATTTTTGTTGAACAAATTTAATTTGATGCAATATATATATATAAAATCAAATAACGGGAAGGGATTCTGCTAGGAGTCTATCTAAAGCAACATTAAAATCCTAACGTTGGGCGCCACATTTTGTTTTAGAATAAAAACTATGAATTTTGTGTAGGCTACGAAGCGAAGATATTTCAGCCGACTCTGTTAGAAGTAAACAAACCAATAGATCTACCTTTGATGGGTATTGATTATTTAATAGTATTATATAAGACAGTTCGCTCATTTCCAATGGCCAGGAGATTATTTCTTAATCACTTAATAACTTTTTATACCCTCCACCATACTATGGAGGGTATATTAATTTTGTCATTCCGTTTGTAACTCCTCGAAATACTCATGTCAGACCCAACAAAGTATATATATATTCTTGATCAGCGTAAAATTCTAAGACGATTTAGCCATGTTCTGTCTGTTGTAATCACGCTATCTTTCGAACAAATTAAGATAGAAGGCTAAAATTTTGCACACATGTATATTTTGCCAGTAGGCAGGCTAAGTTCGTAAATGGGCCATGTAGGTCCAAGTTAACATATAGCTCCATATAACGGTACCTCCCGATATTCCGTATTTTGATCATTTTAGCGACATTATTCACCGGAATTGTTTCAAATTTGGTATCTGACGTTCGTAATGGATACTACAGCCTATGACAGAAAATTAACTGTGCAGGTCCACATCTTCGTATAGCCCCGATATAACGGTACCTCCCGATATTCGGTATTTTGATCATTTTAGCGACATTATTCACCGGGATTGTTTCAATTTTGGCATTTGAAATTCGTAATGGATACTACATCCTACAACAGAAAATGAGCCATGTAGGTCCACGTCTTCGTATAGCCCCCATATAACGGTACCCCCCGATATTCGGTATTTTGATGATTTTAGCGACATTATTTACCGGAATCGTTTCGAATTTGGTATTTGAAGTTCGTAATGGATACTACATCCTACTACAGAAAATGAGCCATGTAGGTCCATGTCTTCGTATAGCCCCCATATAACGGTACCTCCCGATATTCGGTATTCTGATGATTTTAGAGACATTATTTACCGGAACTATTTCAAATTTTGTATTTGAATTTCGTAATGAATACTACAGCATATGACAGAAAATTGTCTGTGCAGGTCCACGTCTTCGTATATCCTCCATATACCGTACCCCCCGATATTCGGTATTTTGATTATTTTAGCGACATTATTTACCGGAATTATTTCAAATTTTGTATTTGAAGTTCGTAATGGTTACTACAGCCTATGACAAAAAATTGTCTGTGCAGGTGCACGTTTTAAAACCCCCATGATACCTCCCTATATTCGGTATTTTTATGATTTAAGCTACATTATAAACAGATTTTTTTTCAAGTTTCGCATTTGAATATTGTAATAGCTTGTGACGTCGTCGTATAGATCCTAATATACGACTACATTCGGTATTTTTAAATTTGTACCAAATGGTGGAGGGTATTCAAAGTTCTGCCCGGCCGAACTTACAGCGTTTTTGCTTGTTTATCTTAAGCCTTACGTTGGGCGCCACTTTTGTATTAAAAATTTAATTTAATGCAATAAACTCGAATAATGGGGGAACTTTTTACGAAAAATTCTCTGGACCCCCTCTAAAGCAAAATTAAAATTTCCATCCTAACGTTGGGCGCCACATTTTTTGTTTTAGAATTAAAAACTAATAACTATTCCGGAATTTATTTACATATTATTACTAATTTAATTAAAAAACATACAAATATTGATACACTTAATTTAAAATGCAATGCAAATCTCACCACTACTAATGCAACACTATAAAACATTTAAACCAATACTACAACTAAAGAAACATAAAAAACAAGATAAAAACACACATACAAAAAAAGCAACATTTACAGTTACACACATATTAGATAACAACAAAAAATGCAAGGCACAAAAAACACATTCACACAGCAACAAAAAAGTACACATTTAAACATGAATATAAATCTCGTTCCGGACTTACCACTACAATTGCAATTACTTGCTGTTGCAATTTTTCAATTTCCGGATTGGATGGCACATTAATCTGCTTTAAATCATGTTCCATGGCCCTGTGGAAGGAAGTGTGGCGTTACGAAGAAATGTGAAAAAATAAAAAATACAAAAAAAAAAAAAAAGAACGAGAAAATTAAAATGAAATACAATAAGCGAAGAGTTATATAAAATTATATTAGTATTGGTTTCCATTTGAAAGCCAAATGAAATGATGTGGAAAATTATGTTTATGTTAAGTGGATACTCTTGAAATGCAAATGTAATTAGAAGGTGATCAAGTTATACGATAATTGTTTGGTTTTTTATTATTATTTGTTTGTTTGTTTGCAATTGAACAGTGGACGGGAAGGCAATGAAATATTAAGTGTGTTAATTGTTAATAAAAAATAAATAAAATATAAAAGGATACAATTATCCCCAACAGAAAGGAATTCGCGTTGGGCGCCACTTGGTTGCTGTTGTTTGCTATCCAAATATTTAGACGTTATATATAGTTTAAAAATTCGGATCAGAAAAAAAAAAAAAAAAAACAAATGGCGCCCAACTAAAATCAAATTCTCTAATTTATGCTTTCTACCAAAAAATAAACAGAACAATTCAAAAAGTATCACTCGGCCTTGCCGACAAATGTATATCCTCAGCCAATGTTCGATTATTTAAATATATTTCGACTTCGGTTATATTAATTCAAACCTTTGACCCGTTGAGTAGTTTCCAAAGAAATAAGCCAATATTGTCTATTTCGTTAGGATAGATATAGTCGACGGAAGTATTCAATTTTCATACTCCATCTAATACCGATAAAACCAGGAAAGAAACTCTTAAAGTCGGGCGGGGCCGACTTTATGATACCCTACACCACTTTGCTAATTTAGTAGAGCTCCGCATAACAATTAAAAGTTTTTATGGAAGAATTCAATCATACCCGCTATGATTATAATTATAATTTAAAAATTCAAAAAAAATAAATCTGCCGTATCTGTATCTTTTACATTCGGACTTGTATTGCCCATTTGATGGACAATTAATTTAAAATCGGATAAAGATATATATGGGGGCTATGTCCAAATCTGAACCAATCTTGATAAAATTTGGCAAAGATATTTCTGTATTTCATATATTCCCCTGAATATCGTTGTTACGGAGTGCATATTACGGCTGTGGGTAACAAATATAACAAATGGGATGAACAATAAATATGGGAGCTAAAGCTATATCTGAACCGATCTTCACCAAATTTGACATACTAGCTTCTAGACTCAATTCGGTCGTAAGTGCCAAATTTCATCCCATTTGGGCAAATATTAGACGTTTGGTGCACAATCCAATGCAAATCGGACGAAGTTATATATGGGAGATATATCCAAATACGAACCGATCTTGATAAAATTTAGCAAATATATTTCTGAGCTGTATTTCATAAATTTCCTAGAATATCGTTGTTACGGAGTGCATATTACGGCTGTGGGTAACAAATATAACAAATCGGATGAACAATATATATGGGAGCTATAGCTATATCTGAACTGATCTTCACCAAATTTGATATACTAGCTTCTAGACTCAATTCGGTCGTAAGTGCCAAATTTCATCTCATTTGGGCAAATATTAGACGTTTGGTGCACAATAAAAAGTAAATCGGACGGAGATATATCCAAATCCGAACCGATCTCGATAAAATTTATCAAAGGTATTTCTGAGCCGTATTTGATATATTTCCCCAAATATTGTTGTTACAGAGTGTATATTACGGCTGCGGAGGACAAAAACAACAAATCGGATTAATAATATATGTTGGAGCTAAAGCTATTTCTTGACCGATTTCGATCAAATTTGGCATACTTATTTTTAGACCTAATTTGGTTGTATGTGCAAAATTCCATACTATTCGGGCTGATATTACGCGTTTGGTGCACAATAAAAGGCAAATCGGACGAAGATTTATGTGGGAGCTATATCTAAATTTTTACCGATTATCTCCAATTTCAATAGGGTTCGTCCTTGGGCCAAACAAATGATTTGTGCAAAATTTCATTTCAATCGGATAATAAATGCGAACTGTACTTTGTTCACAAAAATATATGGACAGACGGACGGACATGCATAAATCGACTCAGAAATTGATTCTATGCAGATCATCAAAAGGAACTATGGGTTTATCTCGTTTCCTTTTGCCTGTTACAAACAAATGCACAAAGACATAATATCCTGACCACCTTGTGGTATAGGGTATATATAAACAACAAAATCTTTCAAAATCTTGTAGACTATGTGGGGGAGGTATCAGAAGAAATGGTGCGAGCTCTGCCATCTTTATAATAGATCTTGTGTTGAAAATATTGAGATGTAACAAGTCCGAATGGAATAAGACGTTATTTTCGCGTATTATGAGCTTCATGAATATTCAAGTACCAGAAAGAGAGAACCGACATAATCCATCGTCACGCCAGAACTTGGGTTAATAAAAATATTATGATGTGTGTAATTTGAAGAGGACTGGACGCTTATTTCGGATTTTTTTATCGTTTTGGCTATTTAAAATTTTAATCCGTTGTGGGAGAGGTACCAGAAGGAGTGAACCGATACCTTCCATCTTCACACCAGACCTTGGGGTAGTAAAATTACTGTGATTTATGTAATTTGAGGACAATCGGACTCTTACATCACTTTTTATAAGAGGTATAATTATTCCAAATTTTGACCCTTTGTGGAGAAGGTACCAGAAGGAATGGTCCGACCGCTACCATCTTTATTACAGGTCTTGTGTTGATGGAAATATTGAGATGTGTCAAGTCTGAATGGAATCGGATGTTAATTCCGTGTTTTATGAGCTTCATGATTATTCAAAACTTTGACCCTTTGTGGGGGTCCCAGAATTCAAAATATTGACCCTTTGTGGGGGTCCCAGAATTGATGGAGTGGACCGATATTGTCTATTTGCGCACATGTCTCAGCTTTGACGCAAATATTAGGATTTGCAAAGTTGGAGCAAAATCGGATTATCGTTTTTCTACGTATGCCGTACATAAATATTTTGAAAATGTCGACCTTCTGTGGGGGAGTTGCCAGAAGGAGGGGACCGATATACTTCATCTTTAGCAAAAGGGTGCCTCCTCATGTAGGTGGTCGACAGGTGTCATAAGGAGCCACCCTCTTGCGGTTCTATGTCGGCGAAGGTCTTACCGGTGCGACAGCATGATAAAATGCTGTTAAGATCCTGATGGTGCAGCCGTCTCAATTCCTATTGGGACCTGATCGACAGCAATGTGCAGAACATCTGCCCAGCTTGTGGCGCGGCATTCTGGCAGGACTGAATATTTTTGCAATATGCGTAGGACTAACGCTGGCGGACCACACCGGAGCCGCATAGTTTACCATAGAACGACAAATCTCGTTGTAAGGGCTCAATAGGGTTTCCTTATTAGCTCACCAAGTGCTGTCTACCAGAGAATTGAGAACCTTGTTCCTACTTCTAATCTTATGGCAGATAACTGTGGTATGCGGACGACTTGAAAAGGCTATCGAATGTGATCCTTAGACCTTGGGGTAGTTGGTGATCGGAATTACAACACCATCGACCTGCAAAATTTAATATAGCGGAGGGATTGATGGAGTGGACCGATATTATTTTTTTTCTCACCTGACCTAGCACTAATGCAAATATTAGAATTTTCAAAGTTGGAGCAGAATCGGATTATCCTTTCTCTGTCTGCGCAGCAAAATATTTTTTTTTTAAATTTGACCACTTGTGGGGGAGTTACCAGAAGGAGTGGGCCGATATTGACCACCTCCAAACTCGATCTAAGTTTGATAATAATATTACGATGTGTTTGAACCAAATCGGATACTCCCTTCGAGAGTTATCTTGCGTACCAGCCAGACAGGCGGACAGATGAACGGACGGACATCGCAAGATCGACTTCAAACTTCCTGAAACGGATTTTGTCCAAAAAGACCTAGGGTCTGAAACCGTTATTTTGATGAGGTAAATTTTGATCTATCAAATCGTGCCCTTTATATGGCTGAGGGTATAAAAATGCGGATATCAAGGAAAATAAAACAAATGGCGCCCAACTAAAATGTAATTCTCTAATTTATGATTTTTACCAATTCATGGCCAGTCTCTCTGATTCGGAATGATCCAGCTTTGAAAATCAAGAATACCCAAGCGTATCCACTCAATATCTACCCAATTTTCTCAATGTTCAATGTTGTCCACTTCCTTCCACTATTCATCTACATCAAGAAAACAAAAAAATTCCACACTCACCTCAAAGTATCCAACGAAATATTATCCAAATTCTGTAGCGTTGATTTCATTTCTGTCAGACGCTTGATGACATCTGCACTGGTCAGCTTCATATACGAAGCCTTTAGATCATCGATTTTTTGTCGTGTGTCTTCCAGGCACACCGGATCACATGATTTACTGTACTCTTCATAGATATCTTCACATTTCTGGAGAATACTTTCATATTCCAAAAAGACTGAATTGCGATCATGCATTTCCTGGGGATTTTCAAATTTACGATTCAGCTCTTCGGCTGCCTGGAAACATTCTTCCAGCTGTTTGGCCAGCTTAATTAAACCTTCAAGGAAAATCTTCGATTGGGTGACATTTTCACCCAAGGCATTGTAGAGATGTTTGAGGGCATCGATACGTTGACTCAGCTGCTTGGGTGATTTGGTGAATTTATCCTCGCAAACCTTGCGTCCCGTTTTTATGGTACTTTCAATTTCGGATTTTATTTCGGACAGGGTGCGATAGATTTGTAGGCATTTTTGATATTGCACCTGCACGGTTGAGGGTCCAGCTGTGGCCACATCTAGAACTAAAGTGGATCTTTCAACATTACGCAACTCGGCCACGGCCCGATTAAGCCTCGATTCAAAGGCCGGTTGGGGAGCGGTACATTTGTTGAGTTTCAGTTGACAGGATTTGTATCGCATCTCTAGCAAATTCAATTGATCCTGTAGCCGATTGGCTGCCTCAATTTTCCCATTACGCTGATGCTCCGCAATGAGATCATCGATTTCTTGGAAGCACCTTTCATTCTCCTCAAATTCCATGGCCAATTGTTGGAAATCTTCGGGTAAATCTTCAATGGTAACATCATTTTCCAAATGTTCGCTGAGTATCTCATCGACACGGGTGAGCCAGGCCTCGAATTGTTCGACACATTTTTCCGATTGTTTGGCCTCGTTAACTTCCTGCTCCAGGATTTCGGCCCGCTGCTTTGCCTTTTGCTGTAGCTGGGTCCAACGTTCCACAATGGCATTGATTTCTTGGCCAATGGATTCGGCCATAAATTCATGGGAAATTAACTCCTGGCCAATTTCTTGGATCTTTTCCAGCCAGTCGTCGGAGTGGCCGCGTAGCACGTTTTCCAAGTCCTAGAAGGAGAGAGAAAGAGAGAATTATTAACAAATTATGGGTTATGGGCTTGTGGCACTTACATCCAATTCCTCAATGATCTCCTCGGCATCGGCATTCTCCGGCGTGGAACGCATTTTATTTTCCAAGCGATCCAGATATCCTGTCTCCGAGACCATAAATTTCTTAAATTCCCCCAGCTGTGTGGAAATATGTTCCAGCAGACCACATTTCTGATACACCAACGAGGTGACCTCCGTCCAGCGGGCATTGAGCCGTGTAAACTTCTTGGCCAACAAATTATATTTCTCGTCAACATTATCCAAACCCTTGGATTTTAGTTCATCGATTTGTACGAGGCAATCTCCGCCCAATTCATTGAGTTCCCTAAAATTCACAGCCTCCCGCTCACAGGTCTCTTTGAGAGCCTGAAATTTCGACTTCAAATGGAACAACTCATTGGAGTTGAGTATCTGAGAGATGGGTGTCTTGGGAGTGTTATTGGACAGCTCATTGAGCCACTGTTCGGTGTGGTTGAGACGTTCGAAAATCTCCTCGGATTGCTTCTGAATATCCAGGGTCTTTTGCAGATTCTCCTTATAGATATTTTGGATCCGGGAAAAGAACTCATTGAGCTCCTTGATCTGAGAGGTCAAATGCTCTCGGTGCTGGGCTTGGGCATCCTTAATGATGATTTCACTGAAGTTCCGGGCACTGATCACATCAATTTCCAATTTACGTAACTTCATGGAACTCGCAGCCTCGGCTGTGGGTTTAGAGTCCCCGGCCTCACCCTCTCGGAGATTACTTTCCAGTTTTCGGAGCACAGCCATTATGGCATTGTATTCTGCCGTGAAATGATTTAGATTCTCAATAGCTGTGGTCTGTTTAATAATCCTTTCCGAGATTTGCTCCTCGGCCTTGAGCCATTTCTCCTGGAACTCGGACGAGAGGCTGTCGGGACGCCTTTGTTTGATTAGATCAAAATCGGGTTTAAGGGTCTCCAACTCCTCGTGGAAACGATTGAGTTCCGTGAGACGTTTTTGCATGGGCTCCAATGAGTCTACAATCACCTGGATCTGGGGCACACGTTTGAGGAAATTTTGTAAGACCTCCAGTTTCCCCTGGATCTCATCGCTGCCACCCTTTTCGCGTATCAATGTCAATATGGCCTTTTTCATGTCATTCCAGGAGTCATAGAATATATTGAAATCCTCCTTCCATTCCTGGAAATCCTCACCCATGGAGGTGGTGGCCTCCTTGGCCTGTTGTATCTCCATGGTCAGGGATTCCATGTCGCTGAGACGCTGCTGCAAATCCCCCTTTGAGGCACTGTTGGAATGCTGTTTATACCAATCCCGCGAATCGGCAAGCACCAGCTTGAATCCCGTGAGGCTATTGTAAAGCTTTTCCTTTTCCATGAGCTTGGAACAGGCACGCCCTTGACTCTCCAGGGCCTGTCTCAACTCGTAGTATTTTTGTTCAATTTGTTTGATCTGTGAGGCTTCCATGATCATGTTACGGCTAACATCTTCCTTTTCGCACAGCTCATAGAGATCCCTTAGCTCGCGGGAATTTTCCAGGCGGGAACTCACCTCCTTTTCCAATTTCTCCAGCATTTCGGCCTGATTGCGCAGGCTCCTCCTCTGCAGCTGTTGCATCTGCTCCTCACAGTCATCGATGAATCCGAAGGCTTCCAGGATCTTACCCTCCAAAAGGTTAAAGTTATCCGTATTCCGCAAACGCCTTTTCTTACAGGCTAGCGGGGAACCCTCTACCATGTGCGCGTCCTGAACCCCACCATCATCCGTTTCCTCGGCCTCATCTTCACCAAAACGGATAATCATCTGGAAGTCAGTCCAATGATCTGGCTTCACAACCTTCGAATCATCATAGGAAGCCCGATCTCGACCAAATTTGAAGCCCTTCTGTTCGATGCGTTCCGTTTGCACCTCGACAATTTGTTTCAAAGCATCCAGGCGATCTTCAAAGTTCTCCAATTGCACCAGCACCTGTTCCCCACGTACATCACCCTCCTGCAAGGTCGCTGCCACCATTTGCCGCAAATCAATGAGGTAACGCTCCAGTTCCAGTAGATCCTTGGCACAGTAGTTCAAATCATTCATACGCTTCGTAATGCTACCCAAATCACAGACATCCTTGGACTCCATGTGCTTGAGGTCCTGCTCACGGGTATCCAACCATCGCGATATACATTTGTATTGCTGCAATTTCTCTTGCCTCAAATCGCACCATTTCACTACATGGGACCAACGTTCTCCCAGGGCTGAGAGCTTATCTTCCAGGTCGTTGAAATTCCCCGACTCATCATTGACAATGACCACCATATTGCTAAGGCTATCCACCAAATCCTGTTGGTGCTTTAGATCATCCTTAAGTACGGCGGCCTCTCTCAGCTGCACCTCAACCTCTTTCAAGGTGGGTCCAATGTCCGACATCAGGGATATTCTATCCTCAATGTTGGTAAGGAAATTCTTTAGCTTCTCAATTTGTTGGCTTTGGAACTCGGCCAGGCGCATGAGGATCTTGCTCTGGACATTCAAAGCCTTCAAACGCAAAGTTTCCCATCTCTCATTCAGCAGCACCATTTGTTGCCTGATTTCATTTTGATCCTCCACCGTTAGGCCTTGGGATTTTTGGGATTCATTGATGAGATTGGAGCCCTCCTCCAAGGCCTCACCCACGTACTGCTGGTGTTCGGTCAATTTCAACATAAACTGTTCATTTTCATGAAATTGGGCCTTGGCCGTCAGAAAATCATGGGGTTCTGGCAAGGTTTCCGACAATATTTGCTCATCCTCGAGCAGCAGTGTTAGCACAGCTTCCAGAGCTGCCTGATAGGTGCTGATCTCTATGGACACATTTGTGGCCAGGCTATGGGGCCTGGATTTGTCATCCTTCAACAGGAAATTGGCCAATTGGCTCTTGGCCGGTGGATCCATTTCCAAATCCATAATCGACTTAAAGGTATCACTGTTATATTTCGATTTAATACCCGAATCTGTGGCACTGTTGGCCATCGAAGAAGAGGCATCCGAGTGGCCAGCCTCTCCATCCTCTAGGCCATCGTCCTGATCCTTATTATCTAAGGGAATTTCATCTAAATCGGTTATATTTACACTTCGGCCATAGCCTAAATCCTCTGTCTTATTATCCTCCTCATATAATACTGTTTCTGTTTCCCTGCGACGGGGTTGGCACAAATTTCCCACCTCCTGCTCCCCTTCTTCATTCTCCTGCTCCTCCTCCTCTTCAAGCGTTCTACGCGTTTCCATGGCATGATACAGGCACATAACATACATTTGTATAGACTTATTATCCGGCTTATGGGTATGTACATCTTCCGGATCCAATAGTTTTTCAATTTTAAAATAAGTATAGGCCAAATCGAAAGCTGTCCTTAGCCGGGCCAAAGGATGTTGGGTCAGGACACTCGATAAATCCACATTATCCAAATGGGCATCGAGGATCAAAAGGAAAGCACGACCATCGGACCAACTGTTGGAGAAATCATTGAGTTTCACACCCTTGGGTTCGGTGAATTGGCGAGCCCAATTCAGCAGGGACTTCTCCACGCCATTACTCGAATGACTTTTCACCAGATTTTGCCCATTAAATTCCAGGGCAATTAACCAAATCAATCCCAAAATTAATTTAGGATTACCCTCGACAATGTCATCACTGGATATGTTCACCAATTTGACTCCATGTTCCTGAATAACCTGCAGGACCTTATTCAGATTGTTGATGTGATGAACACGCATGCGGCCTTTTTCGGGTTTCTGAAAAATGAAAAAAGAGAGAGAGGAAAAAAATTAAGTAAATTTTGAAAAATAATTTGACAAAAGTTTTGAAACTTGGAAATAAATTTTCCTTAGAGGAACTTGATATTTATTTTAACTTTACACACAAAACTTCTCATAAAATAGACCTATATTTCAGAAAGTTCAAAACACATTGACCTCAAATATCAACATTTCTGGCATTAATCTGAGACGTCAATTGAAGATTCTTTACATAAGTAGAGCGTATTTTGGGAATTGATTCCAGCGACAAATGACAACTAGATGTCACTATTTATTTTGTCACAATGGGTTTTAAGAGATTTTTAAACGACATCTGGTGAGAAAGCTAGTTACATCAACTTTAACCTATGCCGTAGACGAGAAATTAATTTTTTCAGCATTTTTCCAATTTCTCGACCAGATCCGAACTCGAAGAATTGAAAAATGTTGCACTTATTAAACTTCCCATTGCCGAGAATTTCCAAATCCACCACAAAATGAAGATTCTCAGAAATAGAGGGCGCTGAGTAATCCTATTTTTAGGACCTCAATTTATAGAATTGATTCCTGTGATATTATTTTTTAAATGTGTTTTTGAATCCATGTATTGGCAACCCCGAGGACTACAAGCCATCCAAAGGCTGTAATTGTTTGAATATAGAGGGCGTTAAAAATGAATATCTTTATATTTGGCGCCATCCTTGTAAAATTATGATTTATTGAAAGTTTTTGCACAAACTCACACAAAGTGCGGCTTTTTAAAAAAAATGATCAAACAAATTATGAAATCAATCTTTTTTTTTTTTTTTTTTTGAAAATTGATGCAATTATTTTTTTAGTATACAATGGAAATACAGATTTCTTTCTATTTTTGTATTTGACGTCATAATTCAAAAATGATGATTTGTTGGAGATTTTTTCAAAAACTCACGACAGTAGGGCTATAAAAAAATTGATCAAAAAATTATTCATTTTTTTGGTATTAAGTGGAAATAGAGACGTCCTGTCTTTGGCGACTTATGGTAAAATTTGATGGGGAATATTTTTGTCTTTGACGTCATCCAACTAATATTATGATTTGTTGGAGATTTTTGTACAACTTTACACAAGGTAAGGCTTTTAAAATAATGATTAAAAATACAAATTATTTTATGGTTTTTTATACTCTCAGCCATATGGCTGAATCGAAATAACGGTTTTATACCCTAGATCTCTTTGGACCAAATCCGTTTCAGGACATTTCGAGTCGATCTAGCGATGTCCGTCCGCCTGGCTGGTGCGCACGATAACTCTCGAAGGGAGTATCCGATTTGGTCCAAACTTGATACATCGTAATATTTTCGTCAAACTAAGATCGAGTTCGGAAATGGTCCTTCTGGTACCTCCCACACAAATTGCAAAAATTTTCAAAGAAAATAATTTATTGCACAGAAAGAAAAAGGATAATCCGATTTTGTTCCAACTTTGCGAATCCTAATATTTTTATTGAATTCAAAATTTTTAATAATTACAACTCTCATAAAATGTGATGTAAGAGTCCGATTGTCTTCAAATTTCACAAATCCCAATATTTATATAAAACCAAGGTCTGGTGCTAAAATGGACAATATCAGTCCACTCCTTTTGGTACTCCCCCTCGAAGTTTTAAAGACCGTATTTTCTGCAAAGAAAGGGAAACGATGATCCGATTTTGCTCCAACTTTGCATATCCTAATATTTGCACCAGTGCTATGTCAGGTGCGAACATGGACAATATCGGTCCACTCCATCAACTACCTCCCCCACAAAGGGTCAAAATTTTGAATAATTACAACTCTTATAAAATGTGATATAAGAATTCGATTGCCTTCAAATTTCACACATCCAATTTTTTTTTATTAACACAAGGTCTGGTGTTAAGATGAAATACATCGGTCCACACCTTCTGGTACCTCACCCACAAAAGGTCGAAATTAAAAAAAAAAAAAATGATTACATAAAAATATTTTTTCTGCACAGAAAGAGAAGCAATAATTCGATTTTGCTCCAACTTTGCAAATCATAATATTTGCCTCAGTTCCCGGTCAGGTGCTAAAATGGATAATATCGGTCCACTCCATCAAGTTCTTCCCCTACAAAGGGTCAACATTTTCAATAATCATAAATCTTATAAAATGTGATGAAAGAATCCGATTGTCTTAAAATTTCACACATGCAAATATTTTATAAGCTCAAGATCTGGTGCTAAGATGGAATATATCGGTACACACTTCCTGGTACTTCCCACAAAAGGTCGAAATTTTGAATATCCATTAAACTCTTAAAAAATGAAAACGTGAAATATATAACAGATCCTGTGTTGATGGAAATATTCATATGTGCCAAGTCTACATTGAATCGTATGTTAAGATTCAATGTAGACTTGGCACATATGAATATTTCCATCAACACAGGATCTGTTATAAAAACGGTAGAGATCGGACCTTTCCCTCTGGTACCTCCCCTATAAAGGGCCAACATTTTGAATATCCATGAAGGTCATAAAACGCGAAGTAAGCATCAGGTTCTCTTTATATTTAACACATCCAATTATTTCTACTAACACAAGATCTGTTGTGAAGATGGGATATATCGGTCCACTCCTTTTGATAACTCCCCCACAAAGGGTCAAAATTTTGAATATCCATGAAGCTCACAAAACGCGAAAACAACATCCAATGCCACTTAGACTTGGTACATCTCAATATTTCCATTTAAAAAAAGATATGTTATAAAGATGGTGGAGATCGGACCAATTCTTCTGCTGCCTGCCCTACATAGAGTTCAAGATTTTGAAAAACAAAACGCTCAAAGAAAGCGAAATAAGCATCGTACTCTTCTCAAATTTCACACATACAAACATTACGACTTTAACCCTAAAGTGGGGTTTTCATATTTTTGAATTCCTTGGGTTTTGGTCCGATTTAGACTCTTGACAACTTCCGGGACCTGTAGTAGAATTTTATGACAAATAATTTTGTGGAATATTTTGACTGTTAAAATGGAGTTTTTAACCATATTTAAAAAAGTACCAAAAATGCCTCCTTGTGGACTCGCTCGAGGGTTGACGGTCTGACGAAAATATTCATCGTAGTTCTATCTGCAATATTGCCGAAGACACAATCTACCTAAATTGCTCTGATTTCAAGGAATCTTAATCCGAAAATTTCTAAACGTGTGGAAGAGTGGGGAACTTGAACCCTCTATTAAGGTTACTTTGCGATGAAAACTTTCAAAAGTTATTTTCGGATTAAGATTCCTCGAAATCTGTGCGTTTTAGGTATATATTGCCTTCGGCAAAATTGAAGATAAAAATATGTGGACTATATTGGTGGGAAATCTTAACCTTCGAGGGAGTCAGCAGAATTGTCTTTTTGGTCCTTTTTTAAATACGCTTAAAAACTCCCTTCTAGCGGGATCGTAGTAAATCAAAATATTCCACAAAATTAATTATTCGTCGTAAAATTCTACTAAAGGTTCTAGAAGGTGTCAAAGGTCTAAACCTCAAATGTCAGGAATTCATATGAATGAAACAACACATTTTAGGGTTAAAACCGTACTTTGTGTGAGTTTTGTCAAACTGGCTATATTTTACAATTTCGCCTTGATTTCGATACAGTTAATAGATTGAGTGAATTGTACTTTGCACGACCTTAGCACCTCCAGTTCCAAAAAATACTATCCAATCCTATGTCTATTTTTCTAAAAAGATAACAAAATTTCAATAATATTGATATTTTGAAATTCAACCATCGGAAATATCGATGGGGACGGCCAACAATAGTATAGGAGCTTTATATTACCGGCAATGATAATGACCGCCATTTACATAATTTTCATTAGTACCATCCCCATCTTCATCATCGTAAAAACGTTTGACAACAAAACAAAGTCAAGGTCATTAGCTTGTTGCAATTGTGTAATGTATGGATTTGCATTTCCTTTTTTTTTGTTGATGGCTGGCGAAGCACCCTTGTTAGGTCCTCCGCAAACAGAGTACTCTTGTGTGAGTGTGTTTGGTTCCTTTTTCCCATTCACTTCTAATTTGAAACAAGCTCATCTGGTTTCAGTTTCTTTTTTTTTTTTTTTCATTTACATGATTGTCCCTCCAAACATCACATCATAATCGTCCTCATCATCATCGTGATATTATATTCCATTTAAAATGGCAAGGTCATTTGCCGTTTGCGCACGTCTCTACCACATGTTAGAATACTAACATACATCCATACCTACTTTACATTCAAACTTTGTGCAGAGGCTTGAGGCAACATGTTTGGTGGCTAGTTAACCTGATGCTGCTGTGATTATTTATAAGGTACTTTTGAATTACAGAACAAGAAAAAAGAAGAAAGGAGCTTATGACGAATTTGGTACACAGGAAAAAAAATTGGAAGTGGCATCCTTGGACTACTGGGGGTACTTTTTTGGTGGCAGGAAGACCCTCAGAAGAGCTTCTGTGTAAAGTAGACTTTTAGAAGGTTTTCTAGGAACATACGACATATAGATGGCGTTCTATGCATAGAAGATCTCCAGTGGTTGGATTCCTGCTCTATAAAAATATGAAATGAAAAATATTTTCCTTATATTTTTCACTTGGCATTTCTTTCCTCTATAAAAGTTTTCATTTCACATTTTCATAGAACAAGAATTGAGGCCCAGGAGGGGTTTTATGTTTAGAAAACAGAAAAAAAACGTGTATACTTAGAAAGCCTTCAGACGACCTTCTATGTTGGCGAAGGCCTCTAGACGATTTTCCTGTGTATAGAAGACCCCCAGACGGTCTTCTGTTTGCAGAAAACCTCCAGACGGTCTTATATTTGCAGAAGACCTCAACATTTTATTCAATATTGAGAAAACCTACAGACGGTCTTGCAGGTATAACAGAACTACAGGCTCCAAGTCCAAAAATTAAAATTTCTCCTTTATACGAAACGACCCTTACTCCTTTTCTAATTTCCTTAAATTCTCCTGATGAT